CAGTCTAAAAGACAGTTTATTACAAGGACTCTTCTCATCAGTAATTTAGACCAAAGATTATTTTAATGATATGAGTTCTTTAGTGAAACTATAGAACCTTGCTTACAGAATACTTACTGCAGAAACCTAAATTAATCATACTTAGTATTCACCTGAAGGCACAGACACACAATAGCTTTTCTTTTCAATTCAGTGTGTCTTAACAAACAGTTAAAAATTAAACCAGAAAGAAAAACTATCAGCAAACCATACTTTCTTCCTCCCCCCCACCCCTTTGGATTAAGCTTTTATGAAATATGTTACTACATTTTAGAACCACATAACAATGAAAAAGGCAAGATATAACAATACTCCCCTGTCAATGTATACCAGTAAAATACTGGCTGAATTACTGATGAGGTTACCTTGCTCTATAACCCTTCCAACAGCTTTGATTTCTGTATTATCTTCCAAACATCAGCAATTTCAGTATTGTATTTCAAAATCTGTCTTTAGACAAACATGCCACAAATTAAAAGCCTTTGAAGCTAAGTCCTGCTTTTCCACCCATCTTCATTTTGCTTGAGAACAACTGCATAAAACAGGACATGTCTTAAAAGAAAAAAAAACTAAACAGAAAAGAAACTCAAAATAGATGTGTTTTTTGTGTGTTTTTTTTAAAATTTAAGTATTTAGGTTTAGACCAGAGCTTTATAAATGTTAGAGAGAAAAAAAACCAACAACCATATGACGGGGGTTTTTTTCCCCTCAAACTCTACAAATTAACTGCAGATTGCCTTACCAAGTGTTCCTGATGCCAGGGATGCCGGCTTGAGAACCTAATTGCCATATGTCTACAGCAGCAGCTGTGACTATTGTTATCCACAGCTGGGACTGCTCCACTGTGCCTATTTACTTTTAACATCAAATACTTTTAAGCAGTCCACAAAAGAACCTTCCACCATTACCAAGCCACAGAAACTACTACTCAGTTTAAATCCAAATAGGTGATCTTCAGTCCTAACTTGAGGATCTAGTTCCACTCATATCTTTCAAGACAACCTAGACCATGCAGGTGCATTTCTACATTAGTGTGGTTTATAACAAATCAAAATATACAACAGTTTCAGACAAACTAGTTTGAGAACTTTGTTTTACACTGTCACTGGTACCTGTAAGATGCTAAGACCTATTTTCATTCATCTAGGGCACAAACAATGTAAAATCAATTGCAGATAATGTATTCCATGTAGGATACTTCCTTATCTCCTTGCTTCATTAGTTCAGTTTTCTACATACTTATCTCATTTTTTAAAAGAATAAGCTATGTGGACTGTATGCTAGTGATGAGTATCTAAATGCTGACTCAGAGTACTAGCTTCAACCTGCTTCATTTTAATTTGTTTTTATTTATGCATTTTTTATTTACAGAGAGGATTATCAAAACACTTCGACAAAACCAACAAACAAACACACACCAGAAAAAACACAACACTAGGGAAGTCTTCAGGCACAGAATAGTCCAGCTTTTCATTTCAATAATCCAAGGCAGCAACTGCCAACAGTGTTTGTATTTGTTACATTTCAAAACCTGATACAAGAATGAACACAAGAACTACTGACACACAAAATATTCAGATCCATAGTTCAGCTTTCAACCTAGGTATCACACAGCACAATCTTTTTCCCACTCCCCACAAAAACAGTAATTAATGAAGAGGACAGGCAGAAAATAATTAACACATTGTGGGTAAAGTGTATTACTGTAAATCATTCTGAACAAAAGAAGTAAGAAAGCAGGAATCATAAACAAAACATGCTCAATTAACATATGTTCACAATCATGATCTATTATTGAATTATTCATTTCAAATGCTTGTTAGTCTGACCTAGAGCAAGATAAGCTAAATATCCAGTAGTTGAAAGGAAATTTTAAAGCAGAACTTCTGGCAGTACCGTTCAAGTAGATACCATCTGCAATTAGATATGATCTGAGCAGCACAGGCCTTCTGCCAAAATACCAGCCCCTTGATGCAGTCAGCGCATGTGACTTCAGCTGGACTGCAGAATTTCATTTTCACAGCACATATTTTAAAAACATTATAACTGACAATTCTTTAAGTGCAAGATATTTGCAAATATAAAGGGAGAAAAAAAACATACTCATCACCTTAGTATACCAAACCAAGGTAAGACACAAACAATACGTTTAAACTACCAACTTAAAAATTCCTGTATTTTGCATCCTTCTGGCTGAAAAACATACGTCCCAAATACTCATTGTAAGTGGTCTTAACATTGTGGGTTAAAGACCTTTGTAAGAACTCCCTTTTTCTGACATTAGAACATATATAGAACTATATTCAGCTACATGGTCATTTTTTAAACACTGAGAAATTATAAAGATGGTGATCTACTATGGATCTTGATGAAAGGCCTTGCTCTTATCCAAAGAAATTATATAAGCACCAGATAGGATAATTATTTCATTCTGTAGACTCAACTCCATAACAAACTTTGCTTTAACAACATTAAACTGTGTAGCAAAATTGAGAATAAGCTATCTAACCCAGGAGGACTCTGATTTGCTGGCAAGCCCACTGTGAATGCTGGGCACTCCCAGAAGGTGTTAACAGCCACGCTCACACAAAAACTGACTAACAAAAGCAGAGCAACAGGCAACACCCCTGGTGGCATTCCAGCTTCAAGAATATACCTCATTACGGATGTCAGAAAACACTTCTATTCATACAGCCACTAAAACATAGTTGGAGTGCACATGTGATACACTTGATTAACTCTAGACTGTTTTCCCAAAATAACTCTAAGCACTTTGCCTCAGTTTCATTGCCATGTATTCTCTGCTTCTATCAGCTAATATGTTTACAAAACTCAGACTTGGGCAAAGTTTAAACTCAGAGCCCAAAAAGGATTCACAGAACAGCCTGGTGAATCGATGCATAAAGAATTCAAGTCCAAGTAACAGTCACAATCCCTTCTTAGCGATCAGACTTCATCGCCTCATCAATCCTGTTCATCACAATAGTCCATTAGGCTTTAATTCCAAGATAAGGGAACTTTAACTGGCTTGAAGTCTTAAAATAGTCACTACCCAACATATCAGCCTCTCAGATTTGTGTCCTGTCAACTTGATCAGCACACAAGAAAAAAATAACCTTCTCAGAGGCAAGATATCTAAGCCTTGACCATTTCACTGACACATTTGAAGGTATGAAGCACTAACTCCACAGGCTAGAATTACTACTGAATTCCCTTTATTTTGAAATTGCTCTATCAGATACGAGAGTCAGGGACACCAACACCACTTTCAGTAGTCAGCTTTTCGCCAAGAAGTTAAGATGTTCATAATGAGTTCAGTAATGGAACTGAGGCTGCAAAGAATAAGGGATCATAAAAAAGAAAAAATCCTTGGTGGAAACAGCAACAGTACTTGTGCCCTCTCATCTACCCACACTGCCTAAAAGCACAGCACAAAAATTTCACATTGAAGTTATGTGCATCAGACAACCTCATTAAGAAGATTCTTTGAAGAAAACATTTCTGCTCATTTTTTTCCCACCAAACAGTGCCTTTTTCATATATTATATAAACCTCTTCAGTTCAACAAGTAAAATTACTCCTCTTTCTATTGCTTTCTTCTATATTTCTCCTCTAACAGAGAAAAAATAGCCCACAGATTTTAAGAACATGTAACTACTGAAAGGAATGAGTCCTTTCCCACATCCTGTAATGGCCTCCGATGACTTAAACCTGACCATCTGTCCTATCACCCATCTTGTATCAGAGCCATCAGACTCAAATAGAAAGCTACAGATCAGAGCATTTCTAGAGCACAAAATACAGCAATAGCTGTAAAGAAATTTCTAAACAGATAAATCAAGAAGTATTTTTCTCCTGTTTCTACATGAGATGACTTCTAAATATTGTTTTGAAATCCAACCCCAAAAAATGTTCCACATAAGGTTTGAAGGTAAGAAATATACTGCACTGAAATTCAACCTCTATTCTGTGTGATGCCCCTCTTTCAATGAAACCATAAACATTATATAATTTAAGTGACCTCAACAAGGATCTAAGCTCCATTGCAGAAGCAGGCTGAAGTATAATCTCAGCTGAAAAAAAAAGGGAGTATGCAACCTGCTTTGTATTGACCAGGATGAGTAAATACTCAAGTAATCAGAAAGCAAAGTTACTCTGGAGTGTTTCTTCTTCCTACAGCTACAGACAAGATGGCTTTACTTCATTAGCTAACAATTAAAAACTACCATGAGAACAGAACTTTCTAGGTCTACTAGTCTGCACATGGCCAATGACACTGCAGCAAATGGCATTAATACTTCCTTGACCTTAAAAAGCATGTAAAAAAAAATAAATTATAATCCAATCAATAAATTATGTACCCACATTCCGTTTCCCATGGAAGAGTCCTAAACTGGACCTACAATATTTAAAAACCCTAACACTTCAAAGTGGTTAGAATAAGATTATTTTACGTTGTCTGTTATTTGCCATCGTTTAGACACGGAAATCATAAAACTTAGCATCCTTTTCCCCCTCAGCTTTCTCAAATTATGCTCCTAAACAAAGGCACAGACAGCAGAACAAGCACACCCAGAACTAGAGCACCAGATCCAAGCAGGCATTACACCACAACAATCATCACATGGTTGTCTGCAGGGTATGTCTGTGTGTCAATCCACATTAAACTCCCACACACTGAAGATACCCAAAAGGTTTTCACTTTGGTATTCTAATTTTTCTGTAGAATTCTCAACTCACCACTAGCAATCACTATAAACAACTGCATCAAAATCAAGATATTAGTGATTTATACTTTCTAGTTCAATTCAGAGACAACCTAGTTTGTAATGACAGCCTCAGAAGAGATGAAGGGCAATTCTATATGATATAATGTAAACAGGCCTCGGTTTAAAGAAGAGGATTGAGCATGAAGGCAGAGGAGAGAGAAAGATTCCCTTACGAGATTAAAATAAACTTACTTGTTGAATTGCCTTGCATCTGGATGATACATTTGGACTCTTTGCTGGTTTCTCGGGAATTGAAGGGCCGGACCCGAACAGCCACTTTCACGGAAGCCCCCGACATTCTGGTTGCTTGTAGTGTAGCCAAGAAATTGAAAGTGAAAGGGTCAAGAGTGCTTCAAGTTATCCTTCCTGTTGGTGTTTTCTAAAGAGAAAAATATAATATAGTTATTTACAGCTATTGCATTGAAGATGTTGATAAAATCTGGGGGGTCTAAACTTGTTAGCTAACTTCTGCCCTCCAATCACCCTCTCCCCCAACTTGTCACTTGAAAGAAACCTGGCAATACACCTGTACATTGTCCCCCTAGTCAAAAGTTTCCGTCACCTGAAACAGTTCCTTTGAAGAGTACAAAATAACAGATTTGTTTTCATGACTTGGTTTTCTTCCCAGAAAGTATGGACACGAATACCAAAATGAAGATCTGGTTGCAACATGTGTTAGGTCTAACCCAGCAAAGATAATTTTAGAAGCAGAGATACAGCTCCTTATATTTCAGCATGAGCTATCTGCCATACACTACATACCCCAGCTCTCTAGCTGTCAGCCCTGGCAGCCACAACGCATCAGCAATATTAAAACTAACACAAACCTCACGGGTCATATCACACTGACTTTCAACTCACACCTTTTCAGAGGAAAGGGTGTACCCAACAATCTTAAAGAACCCTTTGCAGTCCTAGGAAAGTCCTCTTCTCAAAAGAAATAAAAACTCATTAGCTAACTGTGTATTTAGTGATTAAAGGACACACTACTCTCAGGAAGAAGAGGAATCAAAAATTACTGCCTTCAGGGTAAATATTACTATCTTCAACAAATCTTCATCAGTAAATTAATCTTCATTATCAAAATACTTGTTCAAATCCTACCACATCCAAATGATGAAGCATTTCAGTTGGCAGGAAAACTCTCCAGGATACCTACAATCCAAACTTTAAAGCACATCCCAGACAGTACTGGAGATGCTAATTTCAGGGTTTTAAACACAACTTACTAGCAGAACTAAAGCATTTCAGCCTTAAAGTGAATTCTATGGCAGGCAAAAATATTTAATACATGCTTAACTCAAGTTATGACACATCTTCACACTGTACAAGAAGTTTTTAATAAAACTGCTTTACTTCATTAATGCCATCACATGGTGAAGGCAGAAATTAAATTACTCCACCAAGTAAAAGAAGCAATTTAAATCATCCCTTATTTAAGCAGGTACCTGAGGTATCTCACCAGACTACTAAGAGAGTCTTCAGAAACAAGCCAACTGAATTTCAATGTCAGTGGCACAACAAACTGGTACAATAATGATTCATGAGACAGCCACACAGTCTACTTTAGGTTAGCACAGAATTTTAAGAAGTTATATGAAAACGTACACATAAAATAGAGCAAAGAAGTAATGGGAATTATTTTGAATGGTCTTCAAAGTTTCACAGAGATTCTGGGTTGGGTAGAGAACTGCTCTGTTCACTCTTGCTCAGAGGTGCCTGCTTTTTTGTATAACAAAGTGTATCAAACATGTAACTTCATTATAAACCTTCTTCCTGAGTATAAAACCCCAGAGGTTTTTGCTCTCCCTTCTGAACACCACCCTTGCGCTTACATGGAACCTAAGAGACAAAACTAATCCTGATACATCCCAGTAGCATTATTCAACTGACCCTGAAAATTGCTGCTAGAAAACAGGAATGTTTATGTACCTGGTCACTAAGCATTCTGAAACACAATTTAAGACATCCATCAAGTGCAAAATCTCTGTTATTATCACCTAGTGATACAGTTTACTTTGTCAGACTGCAGGACAAGACAAGTAGGTGGAACTTTCATAGGGTGCAGCACATCAGAGAAACTCTACTGACATTGGTTTAGTGGTTCTCATCCTTCTTTTCCTCATCTATCCATATTAATGCAAAAAACATATTTTTGTCAGCTGCCCACAAGGACCAATGTATAGAGGTAAAGTCATTAATAAGAGGACTTTTTAAAAAAAGAAACCAAAAATACAACCTATGTGTTCCTATATTATTTATGAAATGTAGAAGGCTTATTTTCCCTTCCTCCTAAAGAGTCCAACATACAAAGATACTTTTTTCTGATGTTTCCATAGAAATACTTCTCAGACTACCACATTTATTTCTACAACTAGTATTTCTAGGAAACTGTCAAGCACAAGATGTAGCGAGAGAATCCTTTTTTGACTTAAAAATAAAGAAATTAAAAATCTTTAGTACCTCTGGACACCATATTCCCAATAAGAAAGCATGAGAAGCACAACGCCAGAGCCTCCATATGCACTAGCTAAATGACAGCCTTGTTTGAAGTACAGCTGCAAAGAAATTCTGACCAAACAGGTCAGAAAATAACTTACAACAGCACAAAAATTTAACTGCTAGACTTCTGCAATTACCAACTTCTCCCAACCCTAACTTTTGTTCTCATAGAAAATTATTGCAGTGTTAATTTTAAATCTCATTCATTCTCAGCTCTACTCCTTTTCATAGCTGAAGTAAGCAAAATGCCTACTTGTACTTGCACATGGATTTCAGATGTTTTGAACACTGCCTCATATGCAAGACTTAATTTTCCTTAATAAGAAAATTAATCAAAACAGATATATTCTTTCAAGGTTTCCATAAATCTAAGTTATTGAGGTGTTGGGTTTTTTTTTTTCCACTAATCAGCAACTTTAACTAGTTGTAACATTTTAGAAAGGTAGTATTGTCCTCATCATCCATAATGATAAAATAAGGCAAAATGAGACCAAGTCATATAGCATCACAGATAACAAAATTGCAACTGGTTTTCCAGGGTGCACATTTCCCAGTAGTATCACTTGCTGTGATAACATTATATTGTCTACAGAGTGGTAATAGGAGATATAACTTGCAACAGAGCAAAACAAAATGTGCAATACAGCCTTTGATACAGATTTAGAAGAACAATCTTTAGAAAAGGCAGCTGTTTGGTTTTTTTTAAGAATGTTCATTTGAGGCTTAGAAGGTTGTCATCCATGCTAGAATGAATCATTCTGCTAACGCCTTGGAAAAAAAGTCTACTTGTGTATCTTTTAGCATTCGGTCTGTACTAATCCAATAATGAACCAAGTAGAAAAGGGAACTTCATGCTTGAATCTCTGACATCAAACACCACTGACTCTAAACCAGATGGTGCGTAATATTTGAGTAATTTAGTGAGCTCCATCAGCACAAAAGCAAATCCTACTTATTAACTTTATACTTATTTTCAACTATCATTAAAAGATATTCACCCTGTAAATCACACAGTGAGTGTGTAATTAAACGAACTGTCTTAATATCTTGTATATTTTCTGTTATTCAAGCTGACAAACCCACTGGTGTTGGTCAATCACCCTTCATGGTCTCAAATCACTTTAACTAGATTTGGACTTTCACAACAATGTTTAAAGAAACAAATTGTTCATTAAGACTTGGACCCTCGGATGCATTTGAAAATTCTGGCAAAGCAGTTTTTATGCAGTATCAAAATATAGAACATATTGCTATTTGTTAAATAAAATTACAAGCAGAGTATGGATTTAGACTCCAACTATTCACATATTCAGAGAAGTTTGCAACAAGTCCAAAGTGGTTACAAAAACCACATTCAGAATCTGTATCTAAATTCAAATTAATAAAAAACAAAAAAAAAATCAAAAAACAACCCAGCACACATAACAAATGATGAACTATCACTTTTATTTAACATAGCCAGCCATTGTGTCATAGCTGCATAGGTTTATCAGAGAATTTGCTAACTATTCAAAAAAAAAAATATTTGCTTGTAACTTAATCAGTGCAACAGCTTTAAAGAAAGAAAATTAGCAGAGGTAAAGACTAGTATATGGAAAGTTAGGAAAACAGCTGTTCAGAGCAGCACGGGTTTAGGAACAAGAGGACCACGGTGAATCCAATTTTAGGTCCTCCACTAAGGAGCAGGTAGTGATGACAGTCTGACATATCAGCTGAACTCGAACACCCAGAATTGCTATTTTTATACTAAGTGAAGATGCCAGAGAACACAGTGGTGCAGAACTTGGTGATGCACTGAAAATCTGATCATATAACCAAATGGGTATTTATCACCCCTGGACTGTGCAATAACAAAAAAGAGCTGATCTAAGAAGAAGCTGGAAGGGGACAGTAATGTAGTACTTGAAAATTTGGTGGGAACTTATGTTACATTCAGAGAACAGATACAAATTCACCATCTGCTTCTGGTGAATTCCAGCTCTCCAATCTCAGTTTAATACTCATATTTTGCCAATGACCCCAAAAACTACCAGGCCTGTCATCCTGTCTCCTGACGCCTGCCTCCTGACTTAGCTCAGGAAGGATTGTCAGATCATCATCCCAACATGGCTGCCTCGGTAATTGTGCTGTACTGAATCCAGAGGCAGATCCACTACCCACAGGTCCACAAAAAAACACCCGGAAAACCACAATCCTTTTACATTCTTGCATCGTCCAGCTGGCTAAGGGACAACGCCTCCTTCCCTGCACAAATAATTATCGCTCCCACCTCCACCGGAGCTAGAAAGGAGAAAAAGGACGGCGAAAGGCGGACGCTACTGGCGACCCAGCGAGCGGACGGGATTCAGACGAGGAAAAGGACGGGAAGCGGCTGCACCGCCATAGCTCGGATCGCCCGGGGGAAAGGGGAAGGAACCGTCCCAGGGGAGAAGCCGATGCATCACGCAGATGCAGGCGAGG